GTGTGTGTGCACTCTGTGTGTGTGTGTGTGCACTGTGTGTGTGTGTGTGTGTGCACTGTGTGTGTGTGTGTGTGTGCACTGTGTGTGTGTGTGTGTGTGTGTGTGTGCACTGTGTGTGTGTGTGTGCACTCTGTGTGTGTGCACTGTGTGTGTGCACTGTGTGTGTGTGTACACACTGTATGTGTATCTGTGGCCCACAGCCCTGCTCCGGTGCCAGCTGTCCTTGTGTCCCTGTGTCCCCCCGGCTGTGCCAGCAGGGCCAGCCCCCCATGTCCCCACACAGCACACACAGTGTGACCAATCCCTGTCCCCTCCCAGAGCCAGCTCAGCCACATCCCTGCAGTGTCCCCTGTGTCACTGGCCCGTGGCACCCACAGCCATCCCCCCTTGGGGTCCCTCTGGCCCCAAATCCAGGGTCCTGCTCCTCACCAGGCCTGGCCCTCCCCCCCTGCCAAGGCCACGGCCCCGAGGGGCCACCAGGCCACCCCAAGGGTGCTGCCAGCCCTGGGGGACACACACGGTGGTCACGGTGCTGCTGTCATGTGTCCCTGGGCAGGGGTCTCCATGGGGGGCCATGCACAGAGTGGGGGACTCTGACAAACGGTGCCCCCATCCCCACCGACGGCTCCCTGGGACAAGGCTCTGTTTCCATGATTTTCTCCCAGTTTTCCCCTTCCGGGCGCAGGGGGCACATTGTGGGTTCTGGGGGAACCCAGGGGACACCCCCAGAGCTGTGGCAGCAGCCCCCAGCAGCCAGGGGACCCCCAGAGCTGTGCCAGCAGCCCCCAGCAGCCAGGGGACACCCCCAGAGCTGTGCCAGCAGCCCCCAGCAGCCAGGGGACCCCCAGAGCTGTGCCAGCAGCCCCCAGCAGCCAGGGGACCCCCAGAGCTGTGCCTTCCTACCTCTCCCACCCGGTGAATCCGTTCAGTGCTGTGGGGACACAGCTCCCCCATGGGTGCCCCATCCAGCCCCCCTCACCCTGGGGATTCCTCCTTCCTCCCTTCAGATGGGTGTTCCAGGCTGGCCGTTCTTCTGGGGGCTCAGACCCCCAAGGGCAGCCCCTCACCCGATCCTGTGCCATCCTGTGCCAGGGATGGGGGCACTGGGGTGCCACAGGCCGCTCACCCCCTCTCCTCCAAACCCAGTCTTGGTCCCAGTTGCTCCTGTTGAGGCCGAGTGTCCCCTGGGACCCCACTGGGGCGCAGGGAGGGGACCAGGTGGGTACTGGGACGATGGTCCCGCTGCCATCCCCTCCCACAGAACTCCCCCCTGCAGACACCATCCCCGCCAGATTAAGAGGTTTCTCAGTGCCGCTGTTTTCTCCCTGCCAGGGCATTTATTCTCTCTAAGGAAGAGACTCCCAATCTCCTTTAGCACTAAGCCTCTCCCAGGAACTCATTTCCGGCACCCAAAGAACTTCCCAGCACTTTCCCTCCCGCTGACCTTGGTCTCAGCTCCTGGCACAGCCGTTGGAAAGCACCCACACGCTGTGCCCAGCTCCTCTGTGGCACAGCCCCTCTGCCTGGGCACGCATCTGGGCATCCAGGAACACATCTGGGCATCCAGGAACACATCTGGCTGCCCAAAGGCACATCTGGCTGCCCAAAGGAACATCAGCTGGGGCAGGCTGAGCCCAGCTCTCTGAGCTCCCAGCTGGGTGGCAGAGGCAGAGCCCACACCCAGGAGTGTGACAGCAGGACGGGGTGCAGAGTGTCACCCGTGGGTGTGGGGGGCACCCCGTGTCCCCTTGTCACCCCCTTGGCTGCCTTTGTCACAGTCACCACGGAGCCACTGGCTCCTTGTCCGGCCCCACTCCCCACGAGCACCGTGAGGCCACCCAGTGTCCCCGCAGTGTCCTGCGGGCAGTGCCCACCGGGGTGAGTGTCACAGCAGGCTGTGCCCCTCTGGCACAGGGGGGATTTATGCTCGCTGAGGTGACACCTCTCTGCTGTACCCCCACAGCCAGAGGGCCCCTGTGTGCGGAGCACCTCCGAAGGCCACCAAAGGGGACATGGTGTCATCTCGCCTCCGGCCCTGCCTTGTTACTCAGCAGTTCCAGGACACGCAGTGGCCATGAGCCAGCCCTACTGTGCCAGACAGGGAGGCTGTGCTGGACAGCTGCCAGCCCAGCCTGCACCCCACAACCTGAACCCCACAACCTGCACCCCACTGTGACGGGGGGATGGCTGCAGAGACCCCCGTGCCAGCACACAGCATGCTGCTGTGCCAGCACACCCGTCACGGGACACCCGTCACGGGACACCGGCTGTGCCAGCCACGGCTCTGCCCCAGGGGCACGTCCCAATGGGATCCCACGGTCTCTGTGCAGGCATCCCGGCGCGGCCACGCATCCCCGGGCATGATCACACATCCCTGGGCACGGCCACGTGTCCCTGAGGCTGCAACAAACACAGCCCTGGCTGTGGAAGAGGGTCTGGACCCCCACCCAGCCCTGGCTCCCCGGGCATGTCCCCCTCAAAGGGGTCCCTGCCTGGGCTCCAGCCCCGTCCCCACATCTGGGCCAGCGTGGTGCAGGAAGGGCTGTGCCACAGGGGCTGTGCCAGTGGGGCCATGCTGAGTGTGATGCTGAGGGTCAGGGTGCTGGGGCTCCCTCCCCACTGCTGGGACCGTGCTCCTGGCCCCATGGCTGTCACAGGCAGGGGTCAGGAGCCCCCAGCTCAGTGGGGACAGGAGCAGGGCTGGGGCAGGGGGAGGTGCAGCCCTAGACCCCCGGCACAGCTGAGGCTGCCGTGGCCCCTCTCACCCTCAGCACTAAATCCCTGAGCACCCCTGAGGAGCCAGCAGTGGTGCCCCCATCCACCCTGCTCTGCCTTGGGGTGCCAGGAAGGATTTGGGCTGGGAAGGGGGATGGGGGTCCCTGGCCCTGCCACGGCTCACAGCCCTGCCCGCCCCCAGAGAGCCCACTGGAGCCAGGGGCTGCACAGAACCAGGGGCAGGTGGGGGTAGGTGCACCGTGCCCCCAGCCCCAGCCCTGGGCTCTCTCCCGAGGCCACCAGGGACGAATCTGCAGCATCACTCTCGTCACTCCCCCTTCCCACACAGGCTGCTTTGTTGTGCCGAAGGGGACAAGAGCTGAGCACAGCACACTGGTGCCACCAGTGACCCAGTCCCCCATAGCCCTTCCCTCCCACCCCACACGGTGTCCCCACACAGGTCTGAGGGCCACCCCAGCCCAGCCCCATGCCAGAGCCTGGGGCTGCCCTTGAGGACCCTGCCCAGACACCTTGCTTGGGAGGTCCCCTTGCTGTGCAGCATGGTGGGCACCTCCCCCAGGCCCCTGCTTGGGATCCATTCCCACTCCACATGGGGGGCTGGGGGCATGGTAGGTACCCCGGCCCCATTTGTGACCACGTGTGGCAACACGAACCTTGTACTTGATGGCCAACAGCTCCGTGGCCTCCTGCTCCCTCCGCAGGTGCTCTATCATCTTCTCCTTCTCCTGGAGCAGCTTCTGCTTCTCCTCACTCACCAGGCTGTGGTCATCCTGGATAGCGGCTTTCTCCTCTTCCAGCCTCTCCTTCTGCTCCTTCAAGTAATTCTCCATGTTCTTCTCCAGGCCATCCTCATTCTCATCCTCCCCTTCATTGTCCACGGTGCCCTCTCCATCCATTGCCTTCTTCCTCCGGCTGCTCCTTCTCCTCTTCTTCCCCAGCATCCCACGTTTCTCCAGCTGGGCTTTCAGCCGGACGATCTCCTCCTGAAACTCGCGCAGCAAGGTGTCCTTGGGGTCCTCGTTCACCCGGGGCTTGTTCTTGATGTTCTTGGCCCTGTTGGCAAACCTGAGGGTGGAGAGGCTCTCGTCGTAGCTGTGGGAGGCCGGGCCCAAGGTGGCCACCATGATTGTCTTGGCATTGCCCCCAAGGGAGTCCTGCAGCAGGCGGGTGAGCTTGGAGTCCCGGTAGGGGATGTGCGTGCTCCGGCCGTCCACCAGCGCCGAGATGACGTTGCCCAGGGCCGAGAGGGAGAGGTTGATCTTGGAGGCTTCCTTGGGGCGCTCTCCGTGGGCCCCCATTTTGTTCTGGCGCTCGCTGCCGGCCAGGTCCACGAGGTTGAGCTTGCCCACGCGGATGTGCTCCTCGCCGTCCGGCCCCGTCTCGCTGCACTCGATGGTGATCAGGAAGATGGCGTGGGAGCGCGAGCTGTGCTCGTTCATGTTGGTGCTGCCCACGGAGCGCGTCTGGCTGCCCAGGTTCATCACGTGCTCGATCTCCTTGACGTTCTTGGTCACGAAAGAGGAAAGGTCTTTGATGTACACCCCGGTCTCGGGGTTCTCCTTCAGCTCCAGCTTCTTGCTCTGGTCCTTGGCGAGGAGGTCCCTGATCTCCTCCTGGTAGATCTCCAGGTACGAGGCCCTCACCAGGTACTGCTGGTTCTGCGAGCGGGAGATGTGGGTGAAGATGTGTTCGAAGGCGCTGGGGATGATGCCGCGCTTCTCCGGCTCCGCCCAGGCGCCCTGCATGGTGTAGGTCTTGCCGGTGCCGGTCTGGCCATAGGCGAAGACGGTGCCGTTGAAGCCCTGCAGCACCGAGTCGATGAGCGGCCGCACCGTCTCGTCGTAGAGGTCGGCCTGCTTGGAGCTGGCGTCGTACACGGCGTCGAAGGTGAAGGTCTTGGGCAGCTCCCCGGGGGCGGCGCGGGGGTTGCGGATGCTCACCTGGCCCAGCTTCACGTCCAGCTCCAGGACGCGCTCGTATCCCGCCGCCTCCTCCCGCCGGCTCATGGGCCGGCAC